CAAAGTTGGTGAACTTGCATAACCTAGTTTTTTGTTTTTTGTTTTTTGTTTTTTGTTTTTTGAGACGCAGTCTAGCACTGTTGCCCAGGCTGGAGTGCAGTGGCCGGATCTCAGCTCACTGCAAGCTCTGCCTCCCAGGTTCACGCCATTCTCCTGCCTCAGCCTCCCAAGTAGCTGGGACTACAGGCGCCCGCCACCTCGCCCGGCTAGTTTTTTGTTATTTTTAGTAGAGACGGGGTTTCACTGCGTTAGCCAGGATGGTCTCGATCTCCTGACCTTGTGATCCGCCCGTCTCGGCCTCCCAAAGTAGGAATAGTTTTTCGATCATCCATTTAGGAGAACACCCACTGAGAGGCTGAAGTGCCCAGCCCAGCGGCGGGGATAAAGAAGAGATAACTTTCTTGCCACCAGGGAGCTCAAAGACAGGCACATACACTGAGGGCAACAGAGGACAGATGAGGACAATCCTAGGCTCTCTTATATTTATTCCAGTGCAGTACCTGTTTCACTACATAGGGGAGAGGTTGCTGGTGAATGTGTCTGTTCTCATTCTTCTCTGCAGGCCTGGTTTCAACTATGTGGACACAGAGCTTAGGAGTCATCAGAATGTCTTCTATAGATAGCTGTATTTACCCATGACCTCTCTTCCTTTTCCCTGTGTGGAGCGAAACTGCTTCAACAAAAGAGCCACATCCTAACTACGGGAGGCCACCAGAGCATTCCAGAAACAAACAGATCCAACACCGAAGGAGCTTCTGGGGCTGCACACACTCGACTCTTTACTTTCCAAGTCTGTAGCAGTCTGCAGTAATGGATTTTATAATGATGAGCTTGAACTAATTCCCATCACTGAAGGGCTTTCTGGATGAAGGGGAAACGGATACCTGCTTAGAATATAATAGTTCCTGTGGTTGGCAGATTCTAAAATGGCTCCCAGCAATCGCTGCCTCCTGTCGTTAATTCTTTCTTTTGAGTGCGGGCTACACCTGATACCTTGCTTCTCTAAAATAAAATATGCCGAAAGCGAGGGCAAGTAACTTCTAACTGAGATGAGTTTATAAAAGACCATCTTGGTGACACGCTTGCCATCCTGGCTTGCTTACCTGGGTGAAGCAAGCGGTGATGCTGGAGAGGCCCACATGGCAGAGGACTGAGGGCAGCCTCTGGCCGACAGCCTGTGAGGAACCAAATCCTGCCAACAACTGCTGAGTGAGCTTGGAACAGATCCAGCTCCATCCAGTTGAACCTTGAGATGACAGTGGCCCTGGCCAACACTTTAATGGCAGCCCTGTAAGACGCCCGGAAGCAGAGGATCTCACTAAGATACGCCTGTATCCTTGACCCACAAAAGCCATGTGAGAATAGATGTGTGTTGCTTTAGGCTGCTAAAGTTCGGGGTCATTTGTTATGCAGCAGTGGATAACAAAGTCAGTTACCAAACATCAGGTAGGAAACTCACCTGGGCAGAGAAGGGATGGGCGTATTTTGGGAACTTCATATGGATTGGTTCTTCTCTTAAACCCTAGTTAGTAATAATGGACAACAACCATAACCCATTCCCAGGGCACACCAGTAAGCTGGGGATTTATTAGAGTAAGAAACTTCTATGCCAAAGGCCATAGGCCATAAAGCCCTAGCAGCCAGAGAGACCATCTAGGTAGGGTAGTGTCTTCAACCAAGGAGTGGTGTCAGAATCAGCTGAGATGTCTGGACCCTACCCCACACCTACTGAACCAGGATCTCCACAGGGGAGCCTAGAGCCTCCAAGTTAGACAATTCCCCAGAATGAGGCAGGTGTGTGTGCGTCATCAATAGAAACCCCTGATCTGGTCCCACTCTCCCACTTTGACATAACAGGAAATGGTGGGCCAAAGAAGTTACATGTCATTTTAAGATCCCACAGCTAGTTGGTGGCAGCCCAGGATAAGGGCACAGGTCTCCCGTCTCCCTATCTTTGTCCACTCTGCCACAGGTGCTCCCCACCCCCTACCCCTATTCCGTGAAGAGCTCAGCTTAGCCCTGAGCCAACATAAGAAGAAAAGAGCAAGAGATGTCCAGAGACAACTTCTAAGGTTTTCTTTATTTGTTTTGAAAACAACCTCCATTCTTCATCTCTCAATGTAGTCCTGGCCTAGTGACAAAGAAGGCTTTTCTCTCTGGCCTCCAGAGACTGCTTCCTTTGTAAGAAAAGGAACAACAAACACTTCCCATTAGGTTTCTGTCTCCAGATACCAATCAGGAAAAGACTGGCCAGGACTGGAACTTAACGGCCTTGAGAACATGTGGGATTTGTCTCTGAGCCCCATTGGCTTGTGGTATTTTCCTCTGTCCTCCCTGAGACAGTTACTCCTATCCTGGCGGGGCTCTGCCTCCACCTCCCAGTCCAGGATGTCCGAGGTGGTTGTGGGCTGCTTGCTGCCCAGTTTCCAGTCTGTTCTGGTCTAGGGAAGCACCACCCCGTGGCCCTTGCTGCTTCTGGCAGGGGTCCTCAAGAGCTCACCATGTCCCAGTGCTGGCTCATGAGTGAAGACTCACATGGGTTGACGACGACTTCCTTGCCGTTCTCGGTGCCATCACCGAACATATCTGTATCGAGGCAGAGGTGGGATGCTATGTGCTCGATGTGGGAACCAGTTCTGGTCCATTGCTGGTAAGACAGAGAGGAGAGTGAATGAATGAGTTCTGGCATTATCAGAAAGGTAGGTACCTCATGTCTAGGGTCACTCAGAGACTTGATTTCATGGTTTCATAAGCACTAAAACTGTAGCTAATTGCTCTGCCAGGTATTATTGTTGGTTTCTTTTTTTAAATTGGATTAAAAAAAGTTAAAAGCAAAATCAATATGTTTACTAGGAAAACTCATTAGGAGGCAGTAACTTTCCAAGCAGTAGCCCAGAAAATGTGAAGCAAGTTAGTCACAGGAGCAGCCTAAGAAATGGTCTACATTCAGCATCTGCATGACGGCAGGGAAGCGGGGAAGAGCTGGGGTGGTGGGAGCAGCGAGTGTGATGGCAGGAGGGGCTGGGGGCTTCTTCAAAATGTGTCAGAACACGAGGGGCCAGAGCAGAGAGGCGGGTCTCATGCAGCAGGTTCTCACACTTGACCTCGCACGACAAAGGAGGGACTGGACACATCAGGGGAAGCACCCCGGAGCAGGCACTAAGCACATTACTGCCAAGAGACAGTCACAGCTGCCCTGTGTAGTGGACCTCCTCAACCCCATTTCAGAGAGGAGGAAATGGACACCCAGAGAGGTCCAGTAACCTGCCATGGGTCACACAGACAGTAAACCATAAAACAGGCATTTTAATCTTGTTCTCTCTAACACCAATACCCCATTGGCAAGAAACTGAATGGAGACATCACTTTGCTGCTAGAGGAACTGGGCATTTGATGTGCCCAGAAACCTAGGAAGTCTGGGGGACACACTGCCAGAGCCCAGGGCCCTGAAGGCAAGGGTCAAGTCTTGCTCATCCTTGTGACCCTGAGATCCTTGTTTGGGATCCCAGGTGGGGAACAGAGCAATGACAGGAAAGTAGAAGATGAACGGGCATGGTGTGGTCAGTGGAAATCAATAGGCTTTCATGGGGCAGGCTGACCAGTGAGGGTGGATGTTGCCATTGCTGCTAGCAACACAGAAGGGGTCCTAGGTAGCACTTTCCCTCCCTCTCCTGACCTCTCTTATCAACTCTTCCTCTTCTAACAATTTCTCTCTTTTCCTACTCATGATACTAAGCCCTAAACAGGCAGTCACATTACGGAGATGGCCACATCCCAGGGAGCTGCTAAGCACTTACCTGTCTGTCATCTCCATTCTTGCAAAGGACAAGAACCACTGGGGCACCAGGGAACAAGGTGATGACTGACAGGCACAGCTCCTCCTGGAGGATCTGCTGGGTGTATGTGAAGGCCCACACCTGGGGAGAAAGAGACCAGGAAGGTTTGTTCAGGATCTAGGAAGCCACCACTCAAGGGATACAACCACACCTATGGGTGTGATTAGCACAGGTTGATAAGAAGCACCAAGGGTCCCAGTAGGCAATGATCACCAAGGTTACATTGGAAAATGCTACTCAAGTGCCACAGACTCAGAGGTCATATCTCCATGGAAATCTCCCTCCCGTACCCCACGAAGGGGCCTGGGCCTGGGCCATTCAGGCTGCCTCTGAGAGTCCTGAACAATTCTGGCCTTTGGGCAGGAGCCTGAACAACAACCCCAGTTGAGCTGTGTGCTCCACAGTTTCTGTCTGGAGAAAACGTCTTGAGGGGGTATGTTCCTAGCACTTGGCATTTCAAGCAGCCACCTAGCAGGTCAACTCCCAACCCCTCCATACCAGATACCTTTAGGCTGTCCCCTGTTCTTTGAAAGGGAGTCTGAGTCAGTGTCTAGAGCACATGAGAGTTACGACAAGAGGCAGATGGAAGGACAAATGGAACAAGTGTTCCAAGGGAATGAATGAAGAAGGGTTGAGGGAATGAAGAATGTTATGAGGATTAAAATTGTTTCAGGAGAGTGCATGTGCCAGAATAATAGATCTTTTGGACCCTGAGCTCTTGCAGGGAGAAAAACAGAAATCGGATTGACAAGCAGAGTTCTGTTGGCATCAGGAAGAAGGGCATGCTGTGTCGTTCATTATGAGAAATGATTCCAACATTTTCCCTCCAAAGTCCAGAGATTACAGAGTAACTGTGGCTTATGAAGCCACAAGCACTTCCCAGTTCTTAAGTCAGTGGGGCAGAAAGTGCTGGTGGAAGCAGTTTTATTCCCAGGTTGTAAATAAGGATAACATTTACCCCTTGCCTCCATCTGGGGGCAAGGAAGATGATTCCTGAATTGGGTCCCCTGGGGAAACTGCAGAGGATCCTTTGAGGGCTGTATCTATTTTCACTACATCCCTGAAACACATTGACCCTGAACCTCTGGACCAGGTTACTCATTGGCTACTTCCCCTTGGCCCAAGAATGAAAAAAGTCCACTTAGCAGGCCAGCCCCCTACTCTAGGACAAGGCGTCTCCCAGGCAGACGTGGTGGTCGTCTGCCTCTTGTTCTGCACCTTCCCTCCTGGTCCCCGGTCCTCTCCTGACCTCCACCGGCTGCTGAAAGACTTTATTGTTTCCTGGGACCTGGGTGGTTCAGAGGAACCACTCCCATAGGCTCAGGACCTTCTGCTGTCCTGAATACGTCCACCTTGAGTCAACCTGACTTGCTGGACAATGACGCCTGGCTCTCTTGATCTGTGACTCACCAGCCTAGCGGGAGAATGGCTCCTGTGTAAGGATTACTTTTATCCCTTTTCAAACTGCTGGTGTTGGGAGAAGACCTAGATCAGAAAGTACTCGCTGGGGAGGGATGCAAATATAGATGAAACAAGACTGTCCATGAGTCTTGTTCTTACAGCAGGGCAAGGGGTGTCCATGTCTAGAAGGTGGGCCCCTGGGTGTGGGCCTAGAATATTCCTTGGCTTGTGGGGAGGAGAGAGAAGGGCGTTCTTTATACTATTATATAGTTCTTTATACTATTCGACTTCTGTATCTATAGATACTTGAAATTTTCTATAATAAAGTCATGAGATACATTCCTTGGGACATATCAAGAAGTTCTTCTCTGGCCCTGTGAACATCACATTCTACACATCCCATTTGCCTTTCTCCAAGATAAGCTGAAAGGGGAAGGAAGTCTGTCCACACAGAGGTGGTGCAATGACCAGGCTGCTGCTGCTGCTGCTAATAAGAGCTGACATTTATTGAGTGCTTGTGATGTGCCCAGTATTATCCTGACAACTTTACACAGATTGATTAATTTTCATAAGAATCCTATTAAGTAGGTATTGCTATTATCCTTATTTTATAGATGATGAAACCAAGGTTCGGAGAGGCTATCCAACGTCATACACCAGCCAGTGGCCCCCACACCAACTTTCTCCAGCAGCTCTGCTCTTGCTGATGCTGGAGAGTCAGGGCTGGCTCTGAGCTCTTTGAGACAACTTTAACTGGGGAGAAGACACCTGCCCCTGAGATTCTTCTTCCAGGTTGTAAACATTAAAACCAAAGATCAGCTCCACCTTGACAGGGGAGAGTGGCAAGAGATTCTTCTTCTTGGCCAGTTTCCAGTGACAACCTTTATGAAAAGATGAACAAAGGTTGTACACCCTTGCCAAGGTCTGGGGTGGGGCAGGCCAGAGAATAGTACCCTCTCTAGTAGAGTAATTGGGCCATGAGTATGAATGGAGGCCCACACTCCTGATTCTACACCAGACCATAGGATACACACAGTGCTGGCTTCTAGCCTGAGTAGCCCCCCTTGTCTTCCCGCATCTTGGCTGCATATCCAAGCTGAGTCTTCCCCTCTAAATGGTCTCCCTTGGACCTGGGGATGTGTACTGAGACACAGTCCACCCTCAGAGACCCACGCAGGGCTTTGAATTAGGCTGGGGCCATTTGAGTGGGGGATTCTGAAGTCCTAAATATCCAGAATGTGATCTAGAAGGTGGGCACCTGGGTGTGGGCCTAGAATATTCCTTGGCCTGTGGGGAGGAGAGAGAAGGGCCAAAAAGTCAAATGTAACAGTTGGACTACCAGGAAGCCATATGCCCTGAGGTCAGTACAACTGACCTCAGATTTAGACTTCTCACCATTCTCTGGAATGAGGCTAAAGAAACAGTCACTGACAGGGGAAGACGAAGTTCATTCCTTCTGACCCATTATCTGACTGTAGAGTCTGTAAGGAACCACAGATTAGTATTTCAAAAATAAATCCTGCCATTATCTTACAGTCACCATCATACAATGACATTGTGTTTTTTGTGTTAAAAGCATTAACTGATTAAATATAAAAGCCTCTTGTGAGAGCTCACTTTGCAGTTCTTCTTTTTTAATATCCTAGGGGTCTCAAAACTGGAAGTGCTGGATGGGTGGGCGGGTGGGCAGTTCTTTTGACATCCTCGACCCTTGTTGTCCACAGATGCCTTTCAGGAAGAAATGCATTTGGGCAGCTGGTGCATCTCCAGGCTAAGGCCTGATGAAAACATCTCAAAGACCCCCAAGGAGAATGTGTGAACATGCACAGATAATGAAGCCCTCATGTTAAGCGGACTTTCCATTAGCTGGTATTTCCTGGCATTTCAATAATTTAGCCTCTTCATGTCCCAGAGGAAGGCTGATGTCTGGCCACATCTGAAAGAGGAGAGGAGGGAGGAGAAGCAAGAGACAGGAGCACGCAGGCGGGAAGCAAGGAGAGCATTTTCAGATTTCCATTCTGCAGCCTGTCAGACTTCCCAGAAGGGCCGTGATGAATGGGTTTATTAAGAGAATCCTACAGTCAGAAACGGACTCCAGGAAGGCAGCAGAGGTTGCTCAGCAGGTCTGGCCTGGATCGCTGAGTGCTGGGCCCTCTGCCGGTGGCTTCGTTTGGGGGCCTGGCAAAAGCCTAGCCCATGATGGAGGTCCTGTGGCAGGCCAGGTCTCCCTAACAGCTGAACAGGCAGGCCTCCACGACCACTGTTTCAGCCCTGAGTGGGTAGGTTAAATGTTAAAGGCTGAAAGGGCCAGTGCCCTTACACAGGCTGGAATGTCACAAAAGCCCACCAAGAGTTTGTCTAGGCTTTTCCTGGGCCTTGAAGCATGACAAGATAATGAAGGAATTCTTCACAGGACCCGTTTAGGATTAAACAAATTTTATTGGGGGTCTGAAGAAACTCCCCAGACCTCCACAAACAAGTTTTATTGGGGTCTGAAGGAACTCCCCAAATCTCCATGATTTAGCAGGAGACAAGATAATCACCCCTGGCATCGGGACCCATCTAGATTAAGTAAATTTACTGAGGCTCCAGGAGAAGGTCTTCAGGACTCAGGCCTTAGTTATATTAAAAGAAGTTAATCACTTATGTCTTTAGATGAATGTAAACTTACACTTAGACAAATAGCTTAGAAGGCATATAAGCTCTGAAAAACTTTGTAATTTTGAGTTGGTCTGGCGATAATTTCCAGGTCTTCTCTCTGTACCCGGTTACAGAAATAAACTCTCTTCTCTCCCAGTTCATCTGCATCTCATTATTGGGCCATGAGAATAAGCAGCCCAACCCTCGGTTTGGTCCAGGAACTGTCCCTCTTATCCCAAAGCTGTAGCCATAGAAGGGCAACCCAGAGACTGTCCTGGGGGTTGGTGTGGGTGGCCCTGCCCCCTCTACTGGGATAGGCCAGCTGGGGGCTGAGGAGGAGGGGAGTCACCAGTGAATGAGGAGGGGATCGACTGGGCCAGACAGTCTTAAAACCTTCTGTGCTTGGAGGACATCTCTGGAGACAGCCACTGCTGGTGGGAGCAGGGACGGGACAGGCAGGGGGTCAGAAACCTTCTCTCTCCAGCAGATGCCAGTCTGGCCACAGCTGTGGAAGCTGGGATGCAGAGGGCCACAGCACCCAGCCTGGGGCTTGTGGTCTTGCACAGGATAGCGAAGCAGGGATGAAAGATTGTCTTAAGAGGTAACTAAAAGAGGGCTGGGTGCGGTGGCTCTTGCCTGTAATCCCAGCACTTTGGGAGGCTGAGGTGGGTAGATCATGAGGTCAGGAGTTCGAGACCAGCCTGGCTCACATGGTGAAACCCCATCTCTACTAAAGATACAAAAATTAGCCAGGTGTGGTGGCCTGTGCCTGTAATCCCAGCTACTCGGGAGGCTGAAGAAGAATTACTGGAGCCCGGGAGACAGAGGTTGCAGTGAGCTGAGATCATACCATTGTACTCCAGCCTGGGCAAAAGAGCAAGACTCCTTCTCAGGAAAAAAAAAAAAAAAATGCAGGAGTGAGGACGAGGGGCCCCAGTAGAGGAGCTGGTCTTGGAATGGCCCAGGGTCCCCACCTCTGGTAGGCAAGAAGCAATCAGCCTGGAGCAGCAGCTCTCAACTCTCCCCACTCAGCGGACCTC